ATTAGAAATTTTCAACCTATGTATTTATTCATATTTTTTATTAGAACAATGGCAAAACGTTCAAACACGAATGAGTCTCATGACACAAGTAGTAGCGAAGATGAGCTCCAGATAGACGTTTATACAGATATGTTAGAAAGACTAACTGTAGAAGGTTTTCTTCTACAGTTAGTCTATCGTTTTGATAGCAGTGATAGCGATATCGTCCAAGCAACAAGGCGACGAGAGAAAGAGTTCGCATAGATAGCGATTGCAACAACAAAACAAAATTATAAAACAAACGATAACAAAATTATAAAAAATAAAATATTGATTTGTTTGCAAATTTCTCGATTTCGTATAAGTATTGAATAACCGCGCTGTTAAGTTGTAATGAAATCGATAATAATCTCACAACCCCTTGAAAAGCGTTCCGTAATAGGTACTTCGTTGTCACTTTTTCAGAAAGATAGAAAATGGACCAGGACACAGAAACGATGACTATACCTGTTATTCTTGCTTCCTGTGAAATCCTTGAAACTCGCTGTCTTGTCAGGCAGGATGTAAGGATTGGTGACGTCTGAGAGGAAAGCCTGTTTCGAGAATCCTAACTGCAACCTGCCGTCCGTGCCGATCGTGACGTTGTTCAGGTTCTGTAAACATCGTTCCACGGCTATGCTGTCGCCCATCTGGATCATGGCGCATCCCTCTTTCGTCTTCAAAAACTTGACCTACGACAAAAAGATCCGAGAGGGTTATCGAGGATCACTCGGAGACGAGGGCGGGCTTCAAACACCTCTACCGAGCTTTCGTGCGCGCTCGGATAAGCCCCTGAAATTATTCTAGAACGCACCCCTAAATACCCCACTTGACTAACCACCGTATGCTCAGTGGAATAGTTTAACTATTGTGCTGTGGACCGAATTTTTTCAAATGGATGTACACTATTTAAATACTTCGAGATCCGAATATTCATGTCTAGATATTCGTCATTTACAATTTTATTTAGCGATTCTTTCAACATATTTTTTAATGCGTTCCTTCTAGACACGTTACATTTCACATGGATCCATTTATTGTAAATAAGCGAATTTTATTTGCGAAAGGGTGAATAAGACCTACGAAACGGTGAATTCGAAGTGGAAAATGGTAAATATGATCTACAAAAGGATTCATTTGAAGCGAAAAACCTGTATATTGTTCTATAACAGTGATAAGATTGAATTTATTTTTAATTAATTTTTTTATATAGTATATAGTATATAGTATATATATATATATAATAAATAAATATATACTATATATATACTATACTATACTGTACTATATATACTATATATATACTATACTATACTGTACTATATATACTATATATATACTATACTATACTGTACTATATATACTATATATATACTATACTATACTGTACTATATATACTATACTATACTGTACTATATATACTATATATACTATATTATATATAGTATATATACTATACTGTATATAGTATATATTTATTTAATTTTTTTATATAGTCAAAA